ATATATATATATATATATATATATATATATATATATATATATATTTAAAACTAAACACTCAACAAGACATTAAAGAACCCGTCTATACTATACTATATAGTACTCTTCAACAGTGTGAAGCTATAGAGCTACTGCAAAAATGGAAGTTCAAAGACAATATTCTAAAGATTTCTGCGCACTTGTTTCTCTGATCCATAAGGTGTATAGGTCAAAACGTAAAGCTAAAACACCCTAGAAACAGCATATAAACCATTCAGAACATCATAGCAACCACCCAGAGCACCCTAGCTTCATGACAGCAAGTGTTACACAGGCGCAACTCGTATATTTTCTTCAAAAACTGTAACAATCCGGTTTAATTGCAGTCTCTTTGCATTGTGGGTATACACAGATCCACACACTTTCAAGCCTGTAATGGGTTTTATGGCTCAGTAATTAGCACTGAATAATAAAAAGGCTTTAAGTCTCAGACAGAAGCTTTTTTTGTATATTGCATGAGAAGATGGTTAATTAGTGGGCTCCTACGGACAGTATCAGGACCCCCTCGTGTGGCCCTGGGGTGCTCCGCAACAGACGGAGGAATTCAGTCTGGGTGTGTATAATGAACACAATGACTTACCATATGCGAGGCCCCTGCTGGTAGCACTAGGCACCCCTGTGACCCATAAGTCAATTAAAACAAGTTTGTTTGGCTGAAAACACAAGCAGTAGTTAGCGAGGTAAACTGGAATTGGTCGAAAATTGAAATACAGTAATGGTGCAGATTTAATTCGCTTTATTCCCTCATGGCCCGTGAACACGGCAACTGTGGATACTATTAATTAATTCCCCACCCTCGCTGGGCGGCCCCTCTCCCTGCCTTCATTATCCCAGCAGGCACCGCAGGCCCTGCAGCTAGCCTCCTCCATCTATCCTGAGCTGCGTTCCCGCAGGCTCCTCTACACTGCACTGCTTTATCTATTATTCATGGGTTCGGTGCGGGCCGGTCTCTGCTGCTCGCCCAATGCCCTCTGCTGCAGGACTGATATACTCACGCATGCTGTATGTGCGAGATGATCACATTCTCTAATGGCTGCCTCGGGGAGATGATGACTTAGGTTAGATGCCTGCACTTGTTACTGTGGTGACTTTGCATGTGCTGTAGGTGCGTGGAGGAGATGCTGCGTTAATTCTCCATTTGATATACTGTGGTTATTGCTTTGGAAGGAAATCTGAATGTGTGATATTGAGGATGTGTTTTTTTGGTTTTCTCAAATGTGTGAACCTTGTAGAGCATCATGGTCAGATGGCAGCCTCCGCCAGCAGATGCTCAGAACGGTGAGATCACCGGCTATAAGATCCGCTACAGGAAGGGTACGAGGAAGAGCGAGGCGGCGGAGATTACTTCAGGATCGCAGCTCTATCAGCTCATAGATGGTAAGCTGAACCCCCTTAAACTCAGAAGGACGGGTACATATTTGGTTTTCAAGCTATCAGTGTCTGCGCTTTTCCAAATTATAAAATAAATACATTTGAAAAAAAAAAAAAAATTGGGATTTTTTTTTTTTTAGAATGGTTTATTCTAAATGCAGCAAATGTTTTTTTTTTTATTCCAATTTTTTAAGTGCTAATTTTAGCAACTTTTTCCATGTTTCTTTTTCAGTCAATACATTATATTACATCTATACAGATAGGCAGACAGATAGATAGATAGATAGATAGATAGATAGATAGATAGATAGATAGATAGATAGATAGATAGATAGATAGATAGATAGATAGATAGATAGATAGATGTCAGTTTAGTTACTTTAGTTTAATTTAGTCAATTTAGATTGTTTTGCACAATTATTTATGATCCTATTTGAATAATGAATTTGTGTCATGAAATTTATTTGATAGAATAAAAAATTATATTTACATATTATACCGTTTTTATACTGTACATATATGTACATATCACACACACACACACACATATATATAATTGTACATTATTAGATATTATTATAGGCCTTTAGTTTGAGTTAATTTTTCACAATTAATTACGAAAAATAATGAACAAAATTGACACATTTATTCATCTGCCCTAATCCTATTTGAATAATTAATTAGTGTGTCATGTAATTAATTTGATTAATTTTTTTAATCTATTAACAGCCCCAGTGTGTCTGTCCTTGGCCCTCCTACTCTTAATACTGGCATAAGCGTCAGCCATTCCAAAAACCCATATTGGTTGAAATGTTTTCATTTTTTAGAAGGCATCAGTAAATTCTGTCCTTCCGCTAGTACACCAGTGCTTTTGAGCTGCCATGTCAACCCCACCAACGGCTCTGGAAAAAATATATTTCTAAGAAATTACAGAATAGCCTGCAAAAAAATAAAGCCTCAAGTGACAAACTCTATCCAATAATGAAACAAAAGTGAGAACTAAATTCTAAATAGATTTCAGCAGCTTCATGAGTGTCATGCTGTGGTTGGCATCACAGAGCATAATGGTTGTTTTCTGTTCCAGTTGAGTTGAGATGAGATGTTTGTTAGTTCAAAGGCTTGAAGTGGAGTGTTGCTATCTCCCACAAGGCCGCAGGAACAGCTCTGACTTCTGCATTCAACACTCTAACTAAGCAGACGCATATTAACATTTTAAAGCAATTATAACCTCTGGCTTATTTAAAGACAGCAGGCATTCCCTCATCTATGAAAACCAGAACACATGCCCATGGCATCAGACATGTGAAATTATGAACCCCTCTGGAATCAGTCAGTTCTCATTTTGTTGTTTGTGTCAGTTCAGTGTGATACAAATTTGTGGAAGCAGATTTTTATAAATCAGCACTCTAGGCAATGCTGTAAGTGTGTAGGTCAGTATGTCGTACAGCAGAGCCAATGATGATGATGCGGGGGTGGTTATCAATTTAGTCTTGGAAAATGGATTGAGAAATGTGGAGCGTTGTGAAGCATCTTTCTGTTTGTTTCCAGAGAAATGAGCTGACTGGTTGATTGAGACGTGGTACTTCACTTTTACTATTGCTCATACTCCGGGTTAGTGATTTAAACTAGCAGCGCTTTAGGAACCGCCCAGAACTTTGTAGGAAGCCAAACAAACAAAAACCGAATTAATTTGTGCACTTTTAGCACTTTTTATTTCACAAAGCTTGTGAATATGTATTTGTAGAACCCAAATTCAACTGAATCAAAAGCCTAAATTGAAGTTCTTCTTGTATTTTTCAGGTCTGCAGCGAGGCACTGAATATATGTTGCGAGTGTCGGCCATTACGGTCAACGGCACGGGTCCGGCCACAGACTGGACCACTGCTGAGACGTTTGAGAGCGATCTGGATGGTAAAAACTGGCAGATATCTTGTAAGCACTGGTACTTAATTAGGATGACAAAGTGTAATTTTGCTGGTTCTTTGGTTTCAGAGACAACTGTGCCAGATGTCCCGAGCTCCTTGCACGTGCGGCCACTTGTGAACAGCATTGTAGTGAGCTGGACGCCCCCAGAGAACCAGGACATTGTGGTGAGGGGTTATACTATCGGCTATGGGATCGGCAGCCCTCACGCCCAGACCATTAAAGTGGACTACAAACAGAGATACTACACCATTGAGAACTTGAGTAAGATCCTTCATTATAATAATTCTGCTTTGAAAAAATTCTTTGTTTATGAAAAAAAAATATTACAAAATCTGCTTTGAGGGGCAAGAAAATACATTTTCAGTCTTCAAATGCATTATGGGTAAAAGTAATTTTTAAAATGCTTTTTAGTAAATAAATATTTAAGTTTGATCATTTAAATTAAACATTTGAACATTTTAATTGAATATTTGAGTTTGAGCATTTAAATTCAATTAAAAATGTATAAAAAATTGTGTTAAAATGTATTAAATATTTATTTAATTAATTAATTTATTTAATTTTTTGCCATGTAGGACTAAAAATTTTAAAATAACTTATACGGCAACTATTTCAACATATTAAATCACAATATTTATGGGGGAAAAATTGTTTAGATGTTACTATATGAAGAACATACAGTAAATTACCTGACCATTTTATTGTGCTGAAGCACATGAAGTGTAAATGATTATACAAATATACTTTGACAGTACAATTGTAAAGTAATGGTTTATTACTTTTAATACTGTACTGTTTTGGTGTCTACCATGATATCAAAAACTATTCTCTAATCTATCTATTATTGTCATATGCATAAAATATGGTTCTTGATACTTGGTACGTAATTCAAAGAATACTATGGTATTACCATGATAAAGTAAAAAAAAAAGTTTATTATGCTAATTGTGATGATACATACCCAGTTTTACCATATTACTATATCCTATAATACCATGGAACTATATCATCCAGCAAGGCTCAGTGGAATCTGAATCAGTCATTTTAATTTACGTTTCTGAACATTCATTCACACCTTCATCAGACAAACATGAAGTAGCAGCGAAGAAATAGCTCTGTTGCCTCTAAAAGTGAATTAAAGTAAACAGAACTGGGTAAATGGATTGTAGGTACCCCTCTCTCCACCCCATTGTAATTATATTTAAAGGAACGAGAAAAATAATCATCAGAAGAAACAGCATAATTTAAGTTTTCGTAATTCATCTAATTACACGAGAGCTAGAATCAATAATGGTGTTTAAATATGCACCCCTGCTAGGATGATGAATATGGTTGAAGCTCTCAGAGGAGCTGCGGGCTTGATTAGCTAAATGATTGGCTTTCTCCCTGCCAGATCCCAGCTCGCACTACGTTATCACACTGAAGGCCTTCAACAACGTGGGGGAGGGAATCCCTGTGTATGAGAGCGCTATCACACGACCCCAATCAGGTAGGTCACGGCCGGCACCACTCAGCCTTATAACACGCCACACCTACAGCTTCAACATACTAGTCCTCGTTTGTCACTACTGTATTCCTAATATGGAGAATATTGCCACATTTACTATAGAAATAACATTGCATCTGCCTGTCTGTTGAACAGAAGATTTTAATTAGAGGTCTCAATGAAGTCTACATTTCTTCTAAAATTGCATTTCTGTTATTTCTGGGTAATCGTATTGCCATTATGGATATGCATAGTGGTTGAGTGCTTGTTCTTCTCATTAGAGACCATCTTAAGAGTTCTTCAGTAGTTTTGTGGTCTCTAATGCTTCTGCTTCCTAGCAACCAGAGGAAACCTCTTGATTATGAGATACAGATAAAGCCATACGCTCTTCACAATTGAAGCACTGCTTAATAGCGCTGCACATGATGGAGATGCAGAGGTTTGATTAAACGCTGCTCTTATCCGAAGTACAGGAACATCGTGACAGTCAATTCCAGGAAATGAGTCACTCCACCATCCAAGTGAATGTTGATATGACATGGCTGAGTAGCACTGGTCAAACATTATACTTAATGGTGATCTCATTGTTTTTCATGGTGAAATAGACATTTTTATCATCTGCAGTACTAAATGTTTTCCTTTTATTTATTTGCAACTAAAACCATTTTGCAAAATTAGGGTTAAGTGCCATCTTGACCAGAAATGTATCAACATGCTTTGGTTTTGTAAATAATTTGAAAGGTTTAGAACACTTTTTTTTTTTTCCTTTGGAAATATTTTGACTAATGAATGGTTGACAACCAGGTAAGACTGCACAGTTTGTAAAAAAAAAAAATAATAAATAAAAAATATATATATATACGTATATATCACAGTTTAAAATGCAATTAAAAAAGAAAATTCAGGTTTACTGTGCTTATTTGTAGGGCTGCACAATTTGGCCAACATTTTGTAATTGTATATCAATATGGCTATACAATTATAATAGTGATAATAATAATAATCAATTAGTAGTATATTAATTAAGTATATTACTAAAAATATATTTAAAATATATTTAGGGGAAATATATAAATATAAATATATAAAAGCATTTAGGGGAAAAATTATATAATAAGATCTATACTATGACTAATAATACATTAAGCCAATACTTGATTCACACTGCATAGGGAATGAAATTGTGAAAAACTGAAGCTGACCACTTTCTGAACACCAGATAATTTCTCACCTCCGGTTTTGATCAGTGGAACACTCTTATTACCTCCCAGCATGCAAAGCATTTCTCATTTCTCCTGGTTTACCTTTAACTGAACTCACGGAAATCTGCTGCAGGGGCTTTGAAGATCTCCTGCAGAGTTTATATCTGCTCACTCACCCATTCCTTCATACATAAACGTCTCTTCCACCATTAGAGAGAATGTTGTAATAAATACTAACAGGTAAAGGTGACTTCTGAGAGTACCAGAATATATATGTTTAGCTTAAAATAAGAGATATATTTTAATTGTCTAATACTGCATGTTTAGATTTCCTGTTTTTTAAGGAAATCGGTGAGTGAATTACTTTAGTGTGTGTTACTTTGCGTTTTATATTTATTGTTTTGTTAGGCATTGCATGCTAGTTGAACAGTGAATCCATTTACATTCCGCTCTTTAACAGAATTCCAGAGCAGAGCTCAACCTCACATAGTGCTCACTATGGGGCTGCTTCAGAACTATGGAAAACAACCTGTTTTTTTCCCACTTTGCCATTTGAAAACAGTTAAACGTTCAAGCCAGAAACAATGTGTTCTCATCTTCACACATATAAAAGCCAGAGAGCATATTTTCCCACTCCAAATTGTTATTCTTGAAGGGAGCGCTTAGGAAAACATGTGATTTAAGGCAGGCAAATAGCTTTAAATCTATAAAAGGATCAGACTTATTTGTCATATCATTATCATATCACTAAAAACAGAGATGCATCGCACGTTGAAATTATCTGAAAGCATTGGGGAATAATCAAAAAATGTTCATCTCCAAAACCTTGACTCAAGACAAGGTCACTGATTCCACACCTCAAATAAAAATTAATAGACAGGAAAGAAAAATAAAAACCTTTTCATCTGCTTCCTTCTGTGAATCTGGTTAAATTGCAGTATAAAAGAAAAAGATCTCAACCTTTTTATTAGCCAAACACTTATGACCTTCAAGCACACATAATTTGAGATTTTCTAGCCTTACAATAAATACAAGGTATAATAACTTTAATTATAGTTTTAACATTTGACATCCCTAGGATCCCTAACAGCATTGTTTTTATCCATGTAACATTCTAGATGAGGATTACATTGTATTCCAGGCTCTGTGTATATGAACTCTCACTGTCTGACTGATCGTTTTCCTCCTTTATTTGTAATGTAGCTGGTAGTGAACCAAGCTGATGTAGTTCCTCGACTCATTGTAGACGTAGTTCTCTGTAGCTCTGGATGATTTTGTTACTGTCTCTTGGTATTCTGTTCTAATCCAATATTTCTCTCTTTCTCCTTTCCCAATCCCGCCTCCACAATTCTCCCTTCCTCACCTCCCATTTTAACCCATTAATCCGTTCTTCCCCGTCGTTACGTGTCTCCCATCCTAAAACCCTCCCCTTGTATGTGTAATCGAGCTCACCTTTTTTCACCTTTTTATTTTTTTGCCATGGGACATTGTGTAATTTGCTTGCAGACCCCATAGACCCTGATGTTGATTTGTACGAACTTTTCCATGCTCCATACACTCCAGTACCAGACCCTTTACCCATGCTGCCTCCTGTGGGCGTTCAGGCGTCCGTTCTGAGCCACGACACCATCAAAGTCACCTGGGCGGACAACTCACTGCCCAAGAACCAGAAGATCACAGATGCACGTTACTACACGGTGCGCTGGAAGACCAACATACCCGCAAACACAAAGTTCAAGGTATGTTAACAGAATCTAGGCTCCTCACAGCGAAGGTGGTGGATGGTGGAGAATCTTCAGTTGTTATATCACTGACGTTGATTTGTTAATTTTAGGTGGCTAATACCACCACACTGACTCACACAGTGACGGGTCTTAAACCCAACACCTTGTACGAGTTCTCGGTCATGGTGACCAAGGGCCGGAGGACCAGCACATGGAGCATGACTGCACATGGAACAACTTTTGAAACAAGTATGTACTCTAGATGGGGCAGGTTGCAGCCTCATTGATTTAGATTGATGACTCATCAAGTAGTTTTGTTTTACATGTAAATGCACTCAATGAACAATACATTTTGCATTAACATAGAGTGTGAGGGAATATCTGCAATTGTAGTCTTGATTCATTTTATATTTCTCCCCAGTCCCAAGTTCTGCGCCTAAAGATGTGACTGTAGTGAGCAAAGAGGGACAACCACGAACCATCATCGTCAACTGGCAGCCACCCTCAGAAGCCAATGGAAAGATCACAGGTGACAAAAGTGATATTACAAATATATAACCTGTTAGAGACAGTAGCCAGGTTTCCATTACAGATTTCCACAAAATTTTTGCAGTATTTTATAAATGGTGATAAAAAACCTATTGCGAATTTACGCCGTTTCCATTAACTGATGTTATGCGACTCAACCAAAATGTTTTCCTCTCGCAATAAGTCATGGAGATGGATGTTGGTAGGTTTACACAAATTGCAGCCACCGCACTAGCCATTATTTTTCATTGATGGACACGTATGCGTGCATCTTTAGTGAAGCAGCATGGACAGTGGCTTCTGGGACGCTTCTGAAACATGCCGTGGTGCAGCTGGTATAAACACAAGCATTAACTAGAGTGGCCGTGTCGGAGCCATAGTGCACCACAGAATTGTGCAGTGTAAATAAGGGGTTATCCATGCATTAATTGGAAAGCCCTTTATACTTGAGAGCGGCCATGTATGAGGTGTTTCTTGGAGTTTATAGTACATTAAAGAATGATCTTGTGACTTTTACATATGCCAGGTGACCTGTAAATGCGAAAAAAATGGTTTCCATTGCAATAAAGAGAGTTTTTGCGATGTTGATATGTTTCCATTAGGCATATTTTCAATTCGCAATTTCAATTTGCGCAATTTGAAGGGCAATGGAAACATGGTTAGTGGCTATTTTACTTGCCAGATTTATCATTACAATATACCTCTGTATTACTTTTTCTCTGCCTTTCCAGGTTACATCATTTACTACAGCACTGATGTGAATGCAGAGGTTCACGATTGGGTCATTGAGCCAGTAGTGGGGAACAGGCTAACCCATCAGATTCAAGACCTGACCCTTGATACCACCTACTACTTCAAGATCCAGGCGCGTAACTCTAAAGGGATGGGTCCCATGTCTGATGCTGTCCAGTTCCGCACTCCTAAAGGTAAACCAGCTCATTCACGCTGATGAATGATAACAATCACTGCTGCCTGCTGAAAAGACCAGCATATGCTGGGTTATGAATCCAAAAATACAATGGGATACTGGTGTAACCACTATGTTTCTTATCTGGCTTAACCAGCAAGATGTTCTTGGATCAAAAAGGAAAAGACCAACTAGACTAGTAGCAGACCATAATGAACTAGCCTAAACCAAAGTGGACCATAAAGGAATTTCATGCTGTTCCTTTCAGCACTGTTCAGTTGCTAAATTATAATGAGTAGGATTCAATATTGGGAAATATATTATGGTACCATATGCACATACGCTATTTTTAACCTAATCTAAAGCTTAACCCTTTGCATTTACCCTGCCCTAACCAATCTTTCAAACTGGCTCATGCACAAGCCGTCCATAGGGTCCTGCTTAGCTCTGACTGCACGCCTCTCTCCCTCTAACCTGTCTCCTCTCCTTCTGCTTTGTCCTGCTAGCTGAATCCTCTGACAAAATGGCTAATGACCAAGGTAATTGCTCTCTCTTCTCTTATTCCACTAATATCCTCAAATTGAAGTGAGCAGCTTGTTTTCCCTGAACACTGAAATTCATCAGCAGTCCCAGAAAGGTCCAGCTGGTGTATAGCAGAAAAACATCTTATTTGCTTGCCTGACTACCATTTACTAAAGAGTTTATCAGCAAAATGCACATGTGTCTAAAACTTCATACTACTAACAGTCTTTCCCCAAGCACATTTTGGTCAAAAGATGAGTGTCATGCTCTTCTCTGAAGTACAGCTTGTGGTTTATCTCTTTAAATTGCATGCTGTGGAATGTGTCTTAATGTCAACTTTACACAAGAGCTGTAGATTCCAATGTGCCACCTGCCAATTCTTCTTATCTGACCTCTTGTAGCTCCAGGTATATTGCTGAAAGCAGGAAGACCCTCTGTACAAGAACAAGGTTTTGGATCAGTTGGTAATTGCTGTTTTATGTTTCCAAAAAATACACTGTAGAAAGCCGCTAGAAATGGCTAATCAATGATGTACCATAACAGCAACCAAGAAACTGCCCTAGTACTGTGCCTAATACCTCTAAGCAATACCATAACAACCACCCAGTAGTCACTAGCAACCACTTAGCACTTAGCAACACAACTACTTAGCAACATCCCATCAATACCATGTTAATACCCTAGCATCCACAAAGCAACCACCTATACCAATGCCATAACAACTACCAAGGAGCCTTAGCGTAGCAAACATCCACAATAAATTACCAACATATTAATACCAGCGTAGCAACCCCTTTGTAACATCCTAACAACTTCTTAGCAACACCTTGCAATTACCACCACAGTGCCCTGTTGAAGAACATATAACACCCTAGCAAACATCTTGGCAATGCCATAGTTCCTAGTAACAACCCACAACGAACTAGCAACACCATAAAGGGGACATCAGATGCAAAATTCACTTTTACATAGTGTTTGAACATAAATGTGTGTTGGCAGTGTGTGTAGGCAGTGTGTGTACACAACCACCCTATAATGATAAATGTTTTTTTTAAATCACCAAAAATCATAAGCACTGTTTTAGTTCAAGAATTAACAGATTCTTGGCAGTGATATCACACAGGCCAAGGCCCCCTTTCCTCGACTGTTGACGAACACTGGCGTTTTAGCATAGACCCGCTCTGAGTGAGCTGTACACAGTCCGCCATTGTTTCGATGCCGTAGCAGGTGTAGACAAGAATGTTTCCTAAGTGATTGAGCTGTTTTGTTGTTAGATGTAATAATGAACATAGCAGTCGTCATTTACTTATCAACAACAAATTAACACCCTAGCAATCCTCAGAAAACACCTAACTCAAGTTTAGAAGTGCCCTACCAATCACCTAGCAAATGCCATAACAGCCATCCAGTAGCAACCACCCAATAACCTAGCATTACCTTCATAACAAGCTAGCAACCATATAACCTTAGTAAACCCCTAGAAGAAACTAGCAAAATCTTTGCAATGCCCTAGTAGCAACCAACAAGTAGTCTTTAGGAACCATACCAACAACCTAGTAACACCTTAATAACAACCTAGCAACCACTTAGCAAGACCCTAGTGGTGTCTTGCAACCATGTAGAAACACCTTAGGATCAACTTATTATCACTTAGCAACCCCATGGCAAAACTCAACCAATTCCCTCTATATTTCTGTCTATCAGGCCATTCTGTCATAAACATTTAAGGCTTTCAAAACTTTTTTTAAACTTTCAGGCGAGAATTTGACAAACCAACATTCAACATTTGTTTGCCTTGACAAATTTTCCTTTTCTTGTAACTTTATAACCATAGAATTGCCATGTTTCAGGGAAAACAGATATGTCTGGCACTGGTGATAACCACATCCTGGTTATTGTCATAATTGTGTCTGTGGGTGCATTTACCATCATCCTGGTGGTGGTTGGCGCCTTCCTGTGTACACGCCGTACCACAACACAGCAGAAAAAGTAAGTTCAGATCTCCTGCTGACGAACAGTCCTAATACTCAGTCCTGGCGTGTGGGTAAATGTATTTGCCACAACCTTCCCTCAAACTGTTTGGTATGATCTCCAGGAAACGTGCAGCCTGCAAGTCCGCCAATGGATCCCACAAGTATAAGGGCAATTCCAAAGATCTTAAGCCACCAGACCTCTGGATCCACCACGAACGTTTGGAGCTAAAACCTATCGACAAATCGCCTGAACCCAATCCAGTCATGACCGACACACCAATCCCCCGAACCTCCCAGGACATCACCCCGGTGGATGGCTCCATGGATCCTATGCTCCAGAGACGTAACTCTTACCGTGGTAAGAACTTTGATTTAAAGACCCCATGAAATCAGAATGCAAAGAGTTTTGTCTGTTAAAGACTATCTGTATACTAGTGGACACCCAAACTTCTGGAGATTTTTGATATATTTATAGAATTTCTCTTTGGAAAACAGACTGGAACCCTCTCTCAATACCATCTACAACTGACTATAAGTACCAAGTAGCTATGATGTAAACCTAAAGCTGCCTAAAAATTCACTTTGATATGTCTAGCCCAACTTCCTGTTTCAGTAGGAAAATAACTGTCACACACAGGAAAGAAGATTTGTGACCATTTCATGGGGTCTTTAAACTTGACCAGCCTTCACCTGCTGCATAATCCACATGACATCATTCCAGCTGCTGCTTCTGAAGGATGCTTCAAAGTCATGTCTACTATTTGTCATTATTGCTTGCGATTGGCATGTTCCTTGCTTAAAATGGAAAAACTTGTAGCCTTGTTTTCTTTGTTCCCGTGGCATGAATGGTGATATCCATCTGCTGCTGCCTACTCCTACAGATCTCCTGATATGTGTGTCTACACGGCCCTCTAATGGACAAACAATAGAATACCACTGCAATAGTGAAAATATCACATGATCTTGGCAACTGACTCTAGGAAGTCAGCTGGTTGTCTTCATATGGCTCTTGTATTGGGAGCCTGTCCGGTGGGTAAACCTGTCTCAATCTGATTGGCTGGTCGCTGTCTGATTTACAGGCCATGAATCAGAGGACAGCATGTCTACACTGGCAGGCCGTCGGGGAATGAGACCTAAAATGATGATGCCCTTTGATGCACAACCCCCTCAGCGTAAGTGTGTGATCCTGAACCAGGGACCAGACACCCTTAATTTGGCCCCTTTTCTTTCAGTTAGGATATTAAACAATTTATGCTCTTTGGAATAACATAGTCCTCAAACAAGGTTCCCTGAGTTCATTATTGTAGTTGTAGGCCAAAAACATACTCTACTCAAGTACACGGGTGCAAACAACTCGAGCTAAGAAAGCTAAACATTTCGAAATGCATGAGAATGTTCAGGTCAACTGCTGCCATGGCAGAGCAATAATCTGTTGCTCAGCAAGAGACAATTGCTTAGCAAATTAGCTAAAGTTAGTTAGGTTAGCCACACAGCAATGAAGGAACAGGTTGGCCAAGAATTTGCATCTGCATTTGCATACTTGTCTAGGGTATGTTTCTAGCCTAATGATAATTCTTTAACCTAGCAACATAGCGTGTCTTTCAATCTGTGTTGTTCTTTGTTTGCATGAGCAGATGTTATAGATGCACCATGCTTTCCATAATCTCTTAGCTTTGTGTGCAAGGTCTAAACCATGGCGCTCTATTATTTGTGTCCATTCGCAGCTGTGATTAGTGCTCACCCCATCCATTCCCTCGATAACCATCACCATCATTATCACTTGGGCAGCCTGGCCTCGCCAACACGCAGCTATCTCCACCACCAGAGCAGCACGCGGTCCATCGCCACCCCCATCTCTCATCTAGACAGGGCAGAGTCCACAGGTGAGAGCGCATTAGTGGGACTTTGTGAAGAACTTCATCGTGCCTGGAGACAATTGTGTTAGACCATGTTCTTCTTTTCCTCTCAAAATAGAGTTACACTTACTTGGTGACCATGGAGTTGTAGTGAAACTTTCCTTATCTCTTCATTTCCCCCTTTATCTCTCAAAGTGAACATACCTCCTTCTTTAGCACTTCCTTTACCAATATTACATGGTTTCTAGCTGGCCTAAGGGAGTCATTTTTTTGTTATTCAGTGGTTCAGCCTGTTCTAGATTTTTGATCAATTGGGGGACCTGGTTTCAACCTGGTGAACCATCTTGGTCAAGCTGGTTAGAGCTGGCAGACCAACTTTGGCCAGCATCAAAGCAAATAACCATGCTCCAAAATCTTTACCAATAGAAAGGCAACATGAAAACAAAATTTACCCTATTTACTTAAAGTTGGCATGAAATCTGTTTTCTACGTTGATGTAATTGACCTTATTATAAATTATTCATCCATGTAGTTTTAATTTATTCATTATTTTGGCCCCATAATTTTTAATCAACATGTTATAACTCCATCTTCTGGTGAAACATTAGACTCCCCTCTGACGTTGTTTTTTGGATTCTCCAGTCATTAATTCTCTTTCTAATAATCGACTGCAAACTCACATTTTACCAAGAGTTGTATAGTTTTAACACAGTTAACAATTAATGTAATAAACCTTATGGCAATTATACCAAACAACAATACATTTAAGGAAGAAATATTAAGGTTGGGACACATCAAGATGCTCTGGACTTTCACCTTCAGTCTCCACAGCCTGGTTAAAAAAGATTGTTTAAAATTGGTTGTTTCAGAAGGAGAGTATTCTACCTACTCACATTTAGGTGTTTAACATATGACTTGTTTTTTTCCCCTAGCAAGCTTCTGATCTTTAAGGTTGCTTGTATACAACACCTGCATGGTTAATAGTATGCAGTATGCACCATGTGCTGACCCATGTGCTGATGTAATTACAGAGTCAGTAAGGAACACCCCTAGTGCTGACATGCACCCTCCGTCTGGGCAGCCCTCCTGCACCACTGACCTTTCAGAGACAGACATTAGCTACCACAGCTCAGCCGCTGAGGAGGAGCCAGCATTCAGTACACCCACAGCACATGTTCGTCCCACGCACCCACTCAAGAGTTTTGCAGTGCCTGCCATCCCAGCTCACCCCATGTATGACTCAGCAGCATTACCCAGTACTCCACTGCTGTCTCAGACAGGTAAGTTCCTCTTCACACAAGATATTCACATCCATATTGGGTGATCCAATCTGCGATGTCTAAAATAATGGCTTTTAACATAAACATGTTTATAATATAGGCAGGTACATTCACCGGAATGAAAGCTAAGCTATTGGTAATTTCATTGGTGGAGTTAGAGGATGTATATATCTTATCAGCATTGAGCTTAAAAAGATCTTGCCAACCAAGGTGTACTTTCTTCCAAGTTAAAAAATGAAAGCATTTATAGCTTAAGAAAAGTCTGTGGAATATTGAGCCTAAATGGTACATATACCGTGAGAATATAATAGGACCTAGAACAGACCCTTGTGGAGCACCACAGTTAAGAGTGGCTGAAGAGGAAGACAAATGGACTGATGGAAAAGATTCTGTCTTTTAAATAGAAAACTAATTTATTCCAGTATCTTGGATCTAGTTGTCACACTCCAAATGCTCTAAAAAGGATTTCATGATTTGTGCATCCTTATCATGAATAGTACAAATTTACAAAAAGGACAGACACTGACTTGTACGATTTGTTTTAGGGCCTCACTCAGTTAAAACAGCCTCTATCGGTACGTTGGGAAGGACGAGAACTCCTATGCCTGTCATAGTTCCAAGTGCACCGGATGTCTCGGAAAGTAGCAGACTGCATGAAGATGCAGGGAGCGTGAGTACTTTAGTTCCTATAATGTTCTGGATTACTTTTTCTCTGTACATTATGACTCTTACAACATAACCATGTACATTTGAGTCATTTCTGTTATGCAGTAATTAGAACTCTGTAACATGCAAAACAAAACGCTTGTGTTATATGTATTTTTGGTATTGTATTTTATATATAAGTCTAGGAGCTTTAACAATATTAAATGTAGTTTAATTATTTATACAGTGGCAATAAAATGTATCTACAGTACAGCATATAACAGAATATCAGTAAGGAACCAGTCAGCCATCTGCTCCAAAAATGTGTTTTATCTAATTTATTATGATAGGGACATGACAATGAACTGCTTAGTAGAATGACCTTTTTACAACATTTAGCATTGAATTCAAGGTATACATTTTATCATTGTACATCAGCCCTATGATCTTGGCGTTGCTGGTGCCATGCTCTGCTGTTTGAGCTACAGCAATGTCATGCACTGTTACATACTATGTTTTTCTAGGGATACTGTTACATATTGAGTATACTGTTACATATTGAATATATTTAAATTTATTGAAAAAATAATAAAATGTTTTACATCTTTTTCTTCTCTCCCAAACCTTTACCTGCTTCTCCCTTTTAACGGCTGTATTTATTGCCCGCTTATTACAATTAGTTATTGCAATTTTGCAATTTTTTAAAATGATTTAAAACCGCTGATCGGTTCTTGTTTATCCTGCAAAATGCCCAATACTACCGTACCCCTTCATCCATTACCACGCATGTGGCTGTGCTATTTGATTTCTGCTTTTCTTCTGCAGCACCATTGACCATCCCCTCATAAACCCAATTCCCCAACCCCAGCTCACCCCAACCCCACCCCCCGCAGTAACCTTCTTCATCTCCCTCAGAATTATGAGACGGACGAGTTGACGGAGGAAATGGCCCATCTGGAGGGCTTAATGAAGGACCTAAATGCCATCACGACAGCCTGAGCACAATCCTCACAATAACACTAGACCTCACCTGTCACGGGGAGGACGTCCTATACAGCATGGAGGAGTTCTCAATCATTCGCTAAATGGAGAGAGAAGAGAGTGAGATAGGAAAAAAAACACTAATGTTTGGCATACCTTGCTTACTCTCAGGAAGGAGAAACCCATCAAATGAGGACAATGGACATTCTTGGAGAAAGGACGTGGTTACTTCAACCAGATGACTGCGATTTTTCTCTCAGCATCCTAAAACGTTTCCTTATGTTTCAGCGGAGACCGTTTGAAAAGACACCGTTTTATTAGGAAAACTACATTATGCTGGTGTACGTGTTGGTGCTTGTAAGGCACAATTTACAGTGTTTCATTTGTGTCTTTTCTTTGTATGTTTTTGTATCTATATATATTGCACCCGTTTCAGTGAGCTGAACGATGGACATCGTCCTTTTTATTTCTGCAACTCATTTTGTATTAAGCATTTTGATTGTCTTTTTCTCTTTTGTATGTCATATAATGTGCCATGTCTTATTTTCTTAAACATGTTTTGTATTGTTTTATATGCATATACACTTATCTGTTTGTATATACGTTTAAAATGGACTAATTTCATCACCACAGCAATGTTTCCATTTAGTCAGAGACATGCTGCTTTTTCATTTGCCATTAGAATGGATTTTTGCAGTCTGCGAACGTCCCCCTTCTACATTATGCATTATGTTTTAAATGGGAGTTCCCGTCAGATATGCCTTATTGAATTTGTGTGGAATGGCAGAAATCAGTACAACTGGGAAATATTTTCTAAATGTTTATCACACAACACTGTGATATTTATTCTGTAATGCTGAACTGTTACTGGTCACTCAGTCCATTGGTACGAGAACGTAGACCTCCATCACGCATGCCGTCAGACTTGGTGCTGAAACGCAAAACTTCAGGTTGCACACATGTAACTGCTAACTGAACAAATTTGGTACATTGGAAAGTGCTTTATATGGTTTATTTCCTCTTGCTGCATTAGTCTAAATTCTTGTATCAGAGCTTACACGAAAGCACTGTGAGAGTTTACGGACCACATGCTTGGCACTTAATGCAACAAAGTGCAAATGCAACAAACTTTTCTACAGAACTCCCAGTGCTCATCTTTTATTTTCCATTATATTTCTTGTATTTGTTTCATATGAAGTACTTGTATAGAATTTCAATGTGCGAGGCAAAAAAAAACAACTATTCCTCCCCTGCTGGATATGGTTTTGATCTGTACTTTTACCCAAAGAAAATATGTAACAGCAATCATAATTTTGTTTTATGAATTTAATGTCTCAAACATTTTCTTGAATGTCATTCTGACTGTAAGAAATTCTGGGTAACTATAGGAACATGTTAAAAAGCTTGGTAAAAAAACAAAATATGACCTATTTGGGATAACCTATCAAGTTGTAGACAGTCAAACCTTTATTGCACTTTTTCAACAATTTCAAGAAAAGAAAAAAAAAACATTTTTACATATCCTGTGTTTTGAATATAAAGCTCTATTTGTGTAATGTAGTGTCATAGTTTAGCATAGGCAGCTGGTCTTATTTGTTCTTTTGCCTCTGAAATAATATTTGAGCGGCAGGTTTTACTGTGTTGCATATGCAGAATTCTGTTGTTGCTTATTTCTGTACAAAGATCATCTTGCTGTCTCTAGAAATACTCTGTGGCTTTTTAAAAAAAAATACTAAAAACACTGCCTTTGGTTGTTATTTACTTGCATGCACTCTAAATATTTTGAACCGATTTGTTTTTCAGGACTCCCTCAGCATTTAAAATACTTCAATTTTCTGGTCAGTCATGATGGCTGAATAAGGACCTTTAACCATAATTCTCCAAACATTGGTTAGAAACCACTAAAATCGAGCATAATTGGACATGTATGCAACCCGTTTCCATTACTACAGAAAGCTGGTTTTCATAGAATAGACACCCGACATCGGTTAAGTATTCAACATTTTCAGATTGGAATGAGTTGTACAGCTGTTTTTAGACTGCTGTTACTATTAACATTTCAGAAACCCTTATGTGCAATCTAGTTTAAAGCTTGCTTTAACTGGGTGTAACTGCTTTGTATTACAACTTGAACAAGTCAGATCTACAGTGTTATGAAGTGAGTGACGCCAGGAGAATAATGATCATCCAGATGATCAAAAATAACTTGTTCAAACACAAGGATGTTCTCTTTTTTTGCAGTCTTTATTGACTTCTGATGAATTACACCTCTAGACTCCTCTGGGTGTTTTAAAGTTCATTCCAATACTTGGCTGGGTGACCTGCAAGTTGGAGATGTTGCCGAAGTCCTGCAATGAGAGAAAGAATGGGTTAATGTAAGTTCCTTAATTCAAGTCTGAATATGAACACTGGAATGACAACCTTGTTTTGATCAAATCACATGGCATTTCCAGAGCATTTGACAGCTGTAAAATATAGCCATTGCAGCACATAGGATTACGTTTTTGCAGTTCATCTACACAAACTAGTCAAACCAACTTACGAAAGTCTTCAGCATTTCCTTGGTATCTGGATCAACCTCAATAATCTCCTGATCCAAAGCAGAGACCTGAGAACAGTGAACAAGCACATGAAATAAGGGACTAATGCAGTACTAGTGACATGGTATCATGCAGCAAATTATATTACTACAACATAAATGAGTTTAGAGGAACATAATAGCAGAGATTGTCCTTTTTTGGGCTCTTCAGAAGGAAAAACCAAGGCGGTTCGAAAAAGGATAGCATGTAGGGATATGTAAAGTCACATCGATGATATTCATATTATTTTAACGATGTGGAGGCTGATACTATCAAAAATATTGCTCACTTTGCAACAAAAATACCTTTCACTCATGATGTGGCCCAGCAGAATGCAGTTAGAATGAGCCCACATTCAAAATAGAGGTCAAACTTGCCCCTTATGAGTCTACCTCTCGTTTTTTTATTATTACATGACCAAGAGTGCCATTTTAATATAAGCATGACTGCAAATGTGAACAGGTTTATTGACCTGTTGCATAAAATCAGTAACTTAATATTGTGAACCATATTTTAAGATACTGTCATCAAAAATGGTTCCAAAAACTGCAACATAACCGTTGTTTCCTGAACGTAACGTTTTTGAACAAATCAATGATCTATTCACAAAAACAGTCATCTGCTTAGATTCTCAATGAATCAGCTGTTTGAAGGAATCTGTTGAATGAATGCTTCCATGACTCATTAAGTGTCAGTTTCATATAAAAAAAAAAATAATAACAATTGCGGTTCAAATACATCTACATACTGCTAAAGACCTCTTCTGTGGAACTTGTACGGTGCAAAAAAAGGATTTTGCTGGATATCATTTGATTGGTAACAGCCTAGTGTCTTATTCTTACTGAAATTGATTAAATGCAATAATACGGCAAAAAAAAAAAAAAAATTAATTAAGCCCACATCCTCAGCTAATCAGGTTTAAAAAAATATATATAAATGCCCCGGAAAATGTAAGATGTCAAGCATTGCCGTTTAAATGCAGTAATATGGCAAATTAATCATAAAGTCCACATTCACATCTAATAAGGTGTTCACATTCTAATAAATTAAGAAAAATATATAAATAACGCCCCCCGAAGAATTCATGTCAAACATTTCTGCTTAATGAAAGAGTTCATTTCTCACTGGTATAAACTGGCCACTACACTGAATAAGAACGGTCTTCAACAGACCTTAACCAGCCAAGGTTGACAAAACACTAACAAAAAAAATTACAGTTCTCAACACAAATCCAGAAGATAAAGACCATTTTTGGTCATGACTGCACCCTCTTAAAGGGTGTTCACCCAAAAATGAAAATTAGCTTGTTTTACTTCCCCTCAAAGCATCCTAGGTGTATAGGACTTTCTTCTTTCAGACGAATCCAGTCGGAGTTATATTAAAAACTGTCTTTGATCTTTCAAGGTTTAATGGCACTCAGTGGGTGTTGCAGTTGAACAGTCCACAAGGCGTCAAATAAAGCGCACGCATTCACAATAAAACGTGCCGCAGACTGCTCCGGGG